GTAGAATTGCTACTGTCTCATCTTTAAGTCAGTGAAAGGATACCCTACACAGCTGATAATAATGATATCCAATAACATACCTGTGACACTAAACTATCTCTGTGTGTTTAAAAATTGAGGAGAAAATTCAAGTACCAAAATAAGAGTTTCTAACCAATGGGATAAAGCAGCAACTATACTCTTCCATTTGAAGAAAAATGGGTATAGTAGACTGGCTTATTCACTAGAAATAATGTTAGAGATGCCAAAGTTCAGTTTCCACTGCATACTGGAATGTTATTGCTAAGTTTCAACTACAGCAAATTAAAGAGAAACAAGTAATTCAAAACTGTTATGACATTTATCATGAGCAGTAATGGTCTACTGGCCACTGTTCTTATGAACTGCTTCTGGCTGAGAAAATTACTGTGAACCATCCACAGTGAATGCCAAGTTGTATGATCAGAAAGATGGGTTTGGCACAACTGGACATTGCCAGTGCTGATTCCTACGCTGATTCCTACGCAAGATGCCTTCTCTCTTCCTTCATGCTTAGAGCTTAAGCATTTGGAAGGTAACCTTCAAATGCAGAGAAAAGAGCTGAAACCTTCAAGTAGTTATTTCTTATTTGTACAGTCCTTCAGCTTCTAAAGGCCACATTTGCTCCAGGACTCAGTCAGTAAGGGCTAATCTATTTATCTCAACAAAAACTAGAGTATTACAAATTAGCATCCTCTGTTCTGATCCTTTGTATTTTTTCCCGGTGTACCACTGTATCTAGAGTAGCTCTCATCACCACCCCCTCAGAGAGTACCTTTGATCCTTGGGAAGAATTAGAGCACACAGTTCAAGATGACCTATTACCAGAGGTGAAAAAAAAACCCCTCTTGATGTCAGGTTAGAGACATAATCCAAAAGAGGTAACTTAACAGTTCAGTGTATCAGGTGCTGCAATAAATATAGGGCTTTAGTATATAAAGCATTTAATACATAAACACTCTGTTGAATCAATGCAAGCTTGAATATAAGCCCTCAAACCTACCACAGAATCACAGATTACATCACTAAAGGCAAAAAAAGTTGTTCCACACAACTTGAGTGGAGATACCTCTTATGAAGGCAGCATTCAACTGTTTGCTAAGTGATCTGTATGAAAACAAAGCAATCTTAACTGCAAAAAGTATTCTGCCTGGACTAGTTGATTTTTCAGAAAGTTGAATAAAGCATCTCTTCCATAGCAAGATGAGTCAAGAACATCTTCACAGTTCATTCTGGCAAAGTGTATAATAAAATAGTGCCAGTACAGGTAGTTTCAGAGCTTAGATGCTTCAAACACACTGTGACAGGACTTGGAAATATTGCTTAGCATTCATTGACTCAGAAGCTCAGCCCCTGCAGAGCAAGTTTAGATCTAAAAGAGCATTTCTACAGGTGGGGATCAGAAAGGGCAGGGAAAGAAGACAGAGGTTTCAAATTGATGCCTCTTCCTGACCTCAACGAGCTTCCAGATAACCTTCCGACACAGGAAGAGAGGCAGTTTAGATGCAAGCAATTCACACCTTGTCCAAGTGCCTGAATGGCAGCAAACTGACATTGTATATCTGCTCTTTTCCCTGTCAGTTAAATTCTTGAATGCAGTGGATGTGGATCAATACCTCAGTACCTGGTAATCATGTAAGCACAAAAGGGAACCTCATTTTGATTTCATAGAGCTTTTCTGCTTGAGTACTGAAATAACATGTAGTTAGTGATGAATATGCATCTGTGTTACTAGTAAGAAAGACAAAGTGAGAAAAAAAATAATTCAGACCAATGTACTGAGCAGCAGAAAGATGGGTGAGATTTAAAAACCATAAAGGGTGAATTAAATAGTTTGCCAATAAAAACCATTATTCAAATTCAGTTTCAAGTGTGTACAGCAAATCCTTGTAAAGCTTTTAAAAAGCCCAAAATCAACATTTGGATACATATGGCATTCTAGTTTTTAGGAGAGAGAACCAAGAACTTACTGAAAAGTTGTTCTGTCTTGTTCAATAGTTTCTTGAGTAAACATTGCAGAACTACCACTATAATCTGAATACTTAAGCTGCTGGCATGACTCAAATAACTAACCATTTACCAAGTTGGGTATAAAAAAGATTTATGTAGTAATACCAATTCAGCACACAAATTCCATGCTTCACGAGTTCTGCTGCTGTGTAAGAGTCTTTCTAACATCTGTGCAGATAAGTTCAGATTTTTAGGTCACTGCAAGCCCAGATCAAAACAGCAGCAAAATATCTACCACTACAAGCAGCTATACCCAATTGTGCCTTTAGAATGCAGAAGTCTAGATGATCAGTGCCTGGCCACTGAAATGGGACCACACACACAAACTTCAGTGTGTGCATGCTGTAAAGAATAATGTTACTTACTGAAGAAGAGAAATGCATACAGATTCTGATACAGATATGATACAATCAAGACAGATTAAGCCACTAGACATTCAGATTAGGAGAGGAGAAAAATCCTTCAAAGACAATGTACAGATGACAAGCCAGCATTACAAAGAACTCTAAAGGCACATTTCAGGTAACATGTTTCTGTTAAGACCAACCGCTTACACACGCAGGCACAAATCTTAATGGGTAGCTTCCCCCACCCCCCAACAATTAAAAAAAAAAAAATTAAAGAGAAGTGCATTTTCAGTAATATTAACACCATTCAGTTAATCTGTTCAGTCCAAATGTTTAGCAATATTTTCCTTATGGTGATATGGATTCTCTGCACTACTCCAATCCAAAAAAAACCCAAACAGGCAGGATTAGTAAAGGTTCAACTGTTGTACTTAGTTAATATTACTCATCAGAGCCCACTGGTCTCTTCTGTGCCCTCTTGTAGGGCAACCTCCTTGGTGAAGCTTTATCTGGATGGAAAAAAAAAAGAAAAAAGGAGTTACAGTTGCATCAATTGCAATTGTTACACGACTATGTATTTTTCTCCTCCCAACAGAAGACAAACTGCCCTGCTAATGCAATGTATCACCACAGAGACGCCAATTCAAGCAACTTGTTTAGCCTTTTTCATACTAAATAGAAGGTAACAAAAAAACGTTTCCATTCTGTAACATGCAACTCCAGGGTGAAGTTTGCTCTAGCCAGTTAATAAAATACGAAAAAACCCAGAACCAAAAACCTACACCATCTCCACTCCACTCCTCTGTTTAGAAAACTTTCATGTTCGGTAATTACGCTTTCATAAAGTTAATGAATTATTTTGATCAACACTGACTTGAGTTTGCCTTTCTGAAGAATTTATGATTGACTCTCCTTTAAGCAAGTTGTCTTGCATAAAGCATTTCCACATTCATATAGACTAGCAGCTGAAGATAAGTGTTTTTCTTGTGAAAAATCCCACTTTTCCGGAAAGCATCCACATATGACTATGAAGATGCACTTTATAATCAGATACCCCATATGAGGATTCTTCACTGTGAGGGTGGTGAGGCACTGGAACAAGTTGCCCAGAGAAGCTGTGGCTGCCCCATCCCTGGAAATGTTCAAGGCCAGGTTGGACGGGGCTTTGAGCAACCTGGTCTAGTGGAAGGTGTCCCTGCCCATGGCAGGGAGGTTGTAACTAGATGAACTTCAAGGTCCCAATACAAACCCTTCTATGGTTCTATGATTATTGTAGAGAAGCTTCAATACTCTGTACGAAGTGCTAAAGCAATTGATATGTGCACCTGCTGACTTAAAAACGCACATTTTCTTAAAACAGAACAATCTCCAATAACTTCACTGTTTAGAGTATGTGCAAACACTAGGAGCAGCCATCATGCCACTATGAGCCAATCAGTACAGTATTAAATGTCTTTCAGCAATAAAAATTCAAGAACCTCCAATATCTTAAAGGCCACATATTTTAAAGAACTCTAATGTAGAGTTCTAACTGAAGCTAACTGGGAGCTGAGAAAACAACAATTAAGAACAACTTAATTGTTCGACTTACATCAGTTTTTCCTAGACTTCAGGTATTAAGATACGAAAAGATATGAATATCTATTTGGCTTAAGAAAGGGACTGGGACAGGACCCAAACGTTACCAGGATTTGAACCTGTTTAAAGACAGCTTGTTATTCAGAAAAAAACAGCATTTAGTTTTTCTTGCTAGATTGAGACTTCAGATTTCTGTGCCTAGATTTTACACTATCATTCTTGTGTCTCACAGAAAACAATGTACACAAGAAAGCTTACATCTTCACAAGTAGGGCAATAGTCCTGTAAATAGAGTAAAAAGGGTGAAGGAATAAAAAAAGCAAAGTCATCAGCTCCTGGCACGTATCAGACCTAAGGCCTCTAGCCCTTCTACACTAAATGAAGCTCAGAATATGCTTATTTCATTACAAGAGCAGTCTTTGCCAAGTAAAGGTAGGTCCCACAAAGGGTTTTCAAAGCACTTCTGTTTACGTCTTGTCTAGGATGCACTTTGTTGAGGCTCTCTCACCTCACACCAGCCAATGCTGCTGCTGATAGTTCACCCAGATAAGAAAGACGCAGGAAGATAAACCTGATTAGTAAACTATTATACCCAAGGGTGAGGTCTGCTTCTCACTGAAACAAGATGCACTCAGCCATTGGTCATGAATAGCCCCTCCACCGTCCTTATGTAATATCAGTTTGACATTACACTAAGGTAGCAGAGAAGGCAAAATACACATCTGCCTCTTAGATAAAGAGTTCTGGGAACCGTTAGAAGAGACAGCAATACTTCAGCAGTATCCTACTGAAACTATGTGACTACAATATAACCAGAAATGCATACACAAAATACATGAAAACATAAATTTAGAAGTACATAAAATGCATTTGTGCCATTGCACACATCTGTTATCTTTTACTGCTCATGCCACATCACCAGGCATTGCATGCAGGAAGCTGTACTTCTATCCATGCCCAATTATTACATGGACAACACATTAACCACTTTCACTCTGCAGCTCACAAAGGGTTTGCCTCACCTCTTCTACTCTGCACTGAAGCCATGGGAAAGCAAAAGAGAAGAAAGAGTAAGAGAAGTTAGAAATATCCACAAACAGTCTAAGGAAATCAGATATTTGGTTTACTGTTGTCATTTCAGGTATCAAGTAGAACTTAATCATTTTGGATTTGTGAAGGACATTAATACCAAGTTTTAATGTGGCTTTAGTTAATATACACTTCTAATGCTCATTTAAAACTTTGATCTACAGGCAAACTTCCAAACAACCTACAGAAACTTTGAGATGACACCTATTTTCTCCTATTTAAACCTCCTTTGTGATGCAGGTTTTGGGTAGAGATTTTATAGTGTTGAAAAATAGTCTACAGACCAAATTGTAAAAGTCACCAATAGTCACTACAGAACAAACTTTACTGCTTGATCTAATAAAGACCAGGCTGTTAAAGTAACAGTCTAATCATAAGGCACAGTGCTTTAGACAGTTTTTTATTCCCTAGAAGAGTTGTATGCTGTTGTGAGAAATGGGTATCAGTTACTTATTCCATTATAATTAATTGATCAAGTAGGTTTGTTATGCTCCAGTTTGTCGAAGACAGATAACTTACTTATTTGATTTAAAGTTTCTTGGGGAATCCAGCTCATATCAACATCATTTTGATTTGATGTTCCCATCTCTACTTTCTGTACCGGTCTTTTCCTCTGAAAATTCAAGAAAGGAAAGATTTTTCTTTCAAAGAAGGTTTGGATAGCATAAGTATAAGAAATTACTAAAAATGCTACATTTAATGAATTGTAATTATTTCACTAAGGCACAAACTTAAGGCTAGTCAATGTATGGAGCTGTCTTTGGAGTTAAAGCTAAGCTATCCTTCTGAATAGCAATTTATTCCCCAAGCCTCACACTTCCACTTCTTATGCTTCACAATACTTATTCCACATAAAGACATCAAGATTTCATGCACACCTGGGCAAGTTCATTATACCTGTTGCAAAAAATGGCTGATGATTAATCAAACTTTGTGATGACTAGTTTCATTATGCTTTCTCAGATTAGTACAACATTCTTGTATGTCACCTTGCAAAATAGATGTCAACATACAATAATCATCCGATACTTTTTCCCAAGTGAAGTTACTTCAAAAATATGGTAAGCCACACCACACAAAGGCATCACCTATGCATTGCATACAGATGAGACTTCAAGCTTTCAGCAGTTTTTACTTGCCAAACCACATACATAGACAAATCTTTAGTTGTTATTAGCTAAATTAATGCAATTACAAATGGAATTCAGAAGGCCCTAATCAACATTATGGCAAAGCTTTGATGAGAACTAAATAAAGGACTAGACAGCTGTTTTCCCCAAAGTCTGATCTGGATTAAACTAATAGGCAGAAGTAGAGAGCATGGGGAAAATCTACCCAGTAAGTAGTCAATCAGAAGACACACACATCCAGTGACTGGAAGGTATCAAAGCTTCCAATTCAGCTTCAGTGTGGCACCAAAGAGCTGAGCAATCAAAATGTCTTCAGTTATGAAGTTTTAAAAAACTCTCTAGTTTCTCCAGTAAGCTCTAAGGTTCTAAAAATAAATCTTCTGAAGTTTTACCTGTACTGTCATATTCCAGAAACAATTACTGAATTGCTTTCTTTTCACATCAAAAAGGTCTTGCATTAACAAGTACATAAAGAAACACACTACCCACCTTCCTAGATTCTAGTAACTGATGTAGGCCAACAATGACAAGTAGACCAAGTCCAGCGAGGAACATATACATGAAGATCCTTTAAAAAAGTTTAAGAAACCATTAAATGAAAATCCTAAGTTCTGAAGAGAGTTTACACAGAGGCACAGAATCTAAGCCTAGCTTTGGCCACATATGAACTTTTGTAGGGGAGGAGTGGGAAAAAAACCAATGATTCTGAAACTGAAGTGCTAACAAATATTCTGACTTTGACTTCAGAAACTGTAATCAAACTTAATTCTGAACAACAGAACATTTGAAAAATGCTGTATACATTAGAAAACTGTTCTAAATAAATACTGAAATTGTGTAACTTCAAGAACTTTTTTGCACTATCATGAAGTTTCAAGATATTGGGTTATAGGCAATATTTATGTTTGTGACAGCTTTAAACACTTACAAACCCCTTAAAAATCTCTTACGTGCTTTTAGTACACTACTGCAAAGCAAGTGCTGCTAGGACTTAATTTATTTGCAACAGAGCTTTGAAAGACCTTGCTTATCTTGTTCTGGGTTCCACAGTTAGAATTCTACCTATGCAATAAATAGTTTTTAATCTGTGTATTTAGGTTTGTTTTGAAGAATTTTACCAGAAATACCTGTAGATACTTAGCAAGAGGTGAATATAAGTTAGATCTGAAATTAATTTGGGAAGTAGGCAGTTTACAGGTAAAAAACCTATTCCAAGCTGAACATCTGAACCCAGATTTATGATAAAGGAAATTATGGAGTTAAACTAAACAAGAGACTTAATTGAAAATCCCTGTTATAGAGTAATTATCTATTCACAGGACATTTGCACAAACTAATTCTAATACATTGAATTCTTTTGAGAGCTCCTTTTTCAGAGTATCACACATTTTCATGTGACCAATTTTTCTTTCATTTATGCCATTCTATTTGAGAAATATGAATTAATGCAACAACTATTTCTTTTGGCTGACCTTTTTTAAAAGGAAGCTTGCTCAGCAGGCAATTTCTACCTGTGGCAGGACAATTCAGATATTCAACATTGTCTACAAGTATTTCTGAAGAATAACCTTTTTTAACTCAGAGGTTCACTTAAAATTCCACTCCAGTGTTAAAATATTTAAAAGCATATCAGCACGGCATGTGCTTGCAACATATAAGGTGTGTCAGATCTACTGATCTTTGAAAAGAATCACTCCTGAAAGATATCTTCTACAGATAGGGGATAGTGCAAAGAATGGTTGAGTTCCTCTATCTTGTACTCCAAATATGTCTTTTAGTTTATATAACCTTAGATTATACTGGAGTGCTCCAGAAATTTATTCCAGTCTTGACAGCAGGACCCACAGCCTAATACTATGGACCCTCTGCACCTCTTAACTCTTAGGAAAAAGCAGAGTAGTATAACAGCTTGGAATTGCTATGTACGTGTACAACATCCGGTCCTATTCCAGGCTTATGTCCTCTGAGCTAAAGCACATCTGTAAACTGCTCATTGACATAGTACCAATTCTGAAGATCCCCACTATTAATACAGACTTTAATTTTGGGAAAAAGTTCTTATTTTCAGTCTGTCAACATTTGTCAGATGCCTACTACACCATCAACATAGCAGACCTAACATTCAATAAAATGAGGATACAGGAACTATTCTCACTGGCACCATCAGTAACCTGTTCTACCAGGACACAAACTAAACTTGCATCTCCAGTCTCCTTACGTTTCTCCATCCAGCCCATCTTCTTTTTCAATAATTGTAACAGTTTGATTGAAGACAGCATCTTGAAACATGTTGCCCTATAACAGAGTTTGCACATAACATTTCAAACTAATTTGTTAAACACATACGCAAATGTTTATCTTTTTCCATGTTCTTGGAAAAATTCTAGAAAGCAGTAACTCCTGCATAAGACTTTATTAAGTAATAAGTAGTGCTAGTTTGACTCAACACATAAAAGCACGAATGTTTCACTCCAACTGCAAAGAACAGTCTTGATATTAGCAAGACAGTCACACCTGGCCTTCAGTATGTTATTTCCTATAACAAGAGATATTACATACGAAGGGTTCTTATTACAACTACCAAAACACAAAGGTACAGAGGCCCGTTAATCTTTGACCTGCACCAAAAGAGAAAAAGAATCCCCTGTTTTATCCCCATTTATGCTTTTGCATAGTCTTCCCCCAGATTGCAACTACTGGCCATTTATTTGCCTAAAATAAAGTTTGCAGGTGGCATTCAGGTTGGGAGTAGGGTTTGTTAGCATAGTCCAATATGAAAAGCACAGTGAAAATTCAGTTGTCCTAAACAGAGCTTTGGCTTTGATTGGTTGGTTTGGTTTTTTAGGAGTACATCCCACTACTATACAGTTCTAAGGCCTTCTAGCTTCCACTGAAGACATAACTTTAAGTGCAACATATAAAGAACTGAGAGTGCCTGGGCAGCTAATGTGAAACATGTAAGCAGTCACTTACTGTGCTTACGTACCTAGTGATTTAGTTAAACATTACAAACACATTCACTTTATGAAGCGGTAGTAACTCAACTAAGCAGTTCTTTCCTGACACCTCCACATCAACTAGGAAGATTCAGATGAATTACATCAGGCTTACATTTACATCTCTGTAGTTGAGATTGATAACTAGACCGAAAGGACGACCACCCATAGGCTCAGCAGGGATGAAAGAGTACTCAAACGTGGCTTGTCTCTGTGGTGGAACTACTGTGTTCAGAGAGAGAGCTGTGAAGTTCTGGATATAAAACTGGTAGTCTTGGGGATACCGGAAAGAAGCATCGAGAGACTCGACAATGAAATCCTCTGTACCCTTATTGGTGAAGCCCACCAGAAATTTTACAATGTTGTTCGCTGGAAAGTCTGAAACACGAAAAAATATCCAACTATTAGAAACTTCATACACCACACCTAGCCAATTTCTAAACAGAGAGCATCTAGAACAGACTGTGGGTTTAGAGCTTCACTGTTTTACGCAAACAGATATAGTCTAAGCATTGGTAAAGAGGATGGTAGATTAGCAGGGGACTCTTACCTTCACCTTTCACAAATAAGATAGTTGTATCAGCACTAGGTGAGGCTTTAGGCTCTCCTGACAAGTCTTCTTCCTCTTTTTCTTCTGTCTAAGACAAGAGACTTTTTTGAAAAAATCCTATAATGAACAGTGAAGCAAAGACCATGCTTGGCTCATGAGAATCCCATGCGGCAAAGCAAGCAACAACGGCAAGTACCAAATCCTACTGTTGCAGGATTAGCACAGTCAGTCTCCCTCTAGACTTGATTAGCATCATTTTCAGCATTTCTCTTTCTATTTGTTATATTTGACACAGTACTAATCTGAACTGCATTTAGCTCTATTGAAAAGGTTTATAATCAGAAAGCATCAGCATGGTTTCTGTTTGGGGGCAGAAGGAAAAGAATAGAGTCTAAATGTTAAGTGTTCACATCTAAGATATTTCTATTTAGAAAACAAGAACTTCCAAAATACAGACAACAATATGACAAACGAGAGTTACTTTCACCATAGAGGGAGCGTTTAGTAGCTTTCTATTCAGTTTTCATTAGTTAAGTGTATGTATGCCTGGAAACAGTTAGACTGTTGGAACTAAGCAAGTTCATGGACCCACTTGTTCAAGTTCACCTTTGTGACAATGAACTTTTTAATTTGGCAAATGCAAGCATTAAAGGCTTATTTTCCACTTGGGGATCATGGGATCATCACTGCCCCACCAAATAAAAACAAGGCTGACCTAATTTTGAACAGTCTCAGCTAACCGCCTGCAAGTCAGACCATTTGATTTCAGTGCTTAAAACGACCACCTGAAGCGGTGGATTTCCTACCGGATCTGTCGTACACATACCATGAACTCGGGAACCAGAGCTGAGCACCTAGCATCTTGATTTCAAGTACATCTTCTCTTCCAGTGACAAATAAAAGAAATGTCTAAAAAGTGTAATGCTTTGTAACCAAGCCATAAACTATTTATTAAAAGCAAAATACACTCCAAAGGTTATTTAATAATACTCTGTCACTACTGACATAGCATACCTTCCACCGCTTAGCAAAGCTGGTCAACCATAAGCTCACCAGCTTATCAACATCAGTAAAATCTGATACAATGAAAGAACAGTTTACCAGATCTATGTTCTTATTACCCGTCTTTGCCTAATAATGTCCCAGACTTCCTTATTTGAGAGAATTTTGTACACTAAGTGTCTAGCAAACCTAATACTCGGCTGCTATAAGCAGATCATAAAACCACATAAAATATTTCACTTTTTTGTTTACAATTTATTTTGTTTGTAATTTTTTTTGTCTTGTAAATTAAGTTTAGTTAGCGGAATTCTTTTACCTGTGTTGTCTTGTCTGATTAGTTTTGCTTAGCATGAATAACTAAGGTTTCTGAAGCCTTAGGCTGCAAGCTGCAAACTTTCACCTTGAAAAGTTGAACAAATCTTGAACTGTTGCTTAGCTATGTGAAGGGAGGCTGGGAGACCAGTGCAAACTGAAACATTAGGAAGCCACAACTGTCAGCAGAAGATGCAACCCATCCAGATAAATACAGCTAGAGAAATAACTCAATAAGGAACAAGAAGACCCCAGAACAAAAATCACCATTAAACCAAGAGGCACGTGCAAAGTGCACGAAGAACAGGTGCACAGGTTGTAAGAGTATAAAAGCCCAGGGATTTTGTTCAGGGTTCTTTTCCAGAGGGACTCAGCTCAAACTGTCCCGATTGCAGTAGCACTCAATTATTAAATTATTTTTTCCTGGAATCAGACATCTGAGACTCTGCTGAGAGAAAACTTATGTCAAAGAAATTTTTTTAACGTTTGCCAAGCTGAAGCAAGTGACCCTGAACAGCAACATGCTCACAACATACACTGCAACAAGTGTCAGAGGCTAGGAATGTAGCAAGTGAAAAGGGGCTACAAAACAGATGTTCTGTTGCCCCTGGAAAGTAGATACAAAGAAGCCAGAATTAAGTAGACCCACAGCGCAATCTTTTTCTCAGGTTACTGAGGTGCAGCTTAAGCTAGAAAAGAACTACAGGGGGCTCCCATGAGAATCTGTTTCTCTCACTTGGTGTTCTTTTTTGTGACCTATAGTTTTGGCAGGATGTCCCCATGTGGTTTCTCAACTTGTAATTCAGGAAGAAAAGATAAATCCTTTTGACACTTCAAACTGAACACAAGCTTAATCAGACACGTGGAAACAGCTACTTGAAAATAACGTTACTAAACTCATAAGTAAATTATCCAGCTTGAAGCACTTTTGGTCTAATTCATACTTTTGAAGTAACGCTCATGTAAAATTACCAAGTCTGTTGGCTCATCTTCTTCAACTTCAGCTTCATCATCTTCATCTTCAACTACAGTATCTTCCACAGCTTCCTCATCTTCTGTAGCATCTTGAGCTGCAGCTAATAAACCTGAACCTACCAAAACAAAATTCAAGAAAGCCTTTTTAATGAATAGAAAACTGACACTGAAATACAATTCTCAAACTAATGTTTGAAGAAGTTCTTAAAAATCTGTCCAGTACAGTGTTTTGAAGCCTCAGTTGCAAAAACCTCACATTGAAATGATGCCTGGGTTGATCTTTCAGCCTTATTCCTTCTCTAATAACTTTCTCACCTACTCATTTATCTGCCACCAAGTTCAAAACCAAAAAGTTTACAGTTGGATGACAAAAAAAAAATCAGCATTCACTCAGCAATGCTTAAATTTGCAGAAGGCAACAAATTTGCCTTAAAAGCTATTGCTTAATTTTGGAACATGTTAACATATGAAAATATTTTAATTTTGTAATTTAAAAAGTGAAAATAAGACATTGCTATTGCCAGGAAAGTAATTTAGTAAGTACTGTTTCTTCTAAGACTAGCAAGTCTACTAAATTATTAGCATACTGATAACAGAACAGCACACTTTGAAAGGTAGATTAAAAGTTATTTTTTGCACGTATTTTCACTCAAGTTTTAAAATATAAAAAAGTCTTTTTTTAATATGACCTCAATATAATGTACTAATATATCCATACACGCAACTGAACCACAACATTAGTCAGGAAAGAAACCTGACCTAGAGCAACGCTCCAAGACAAGTGTAATCTGATAGTTCATTGCCTCTTTGCTTTCATGGAGCCAAGCCTCATACATTCAAACACTGGGCAAATATGATTAATAAAAATATTGGCCATGGGACAAAGTTCTGTCCCTTCGCAGTTTACAGCACATAGAGGCAAGGCTGAGAACTTTTAAAACATGTGCACAAAACTACAGATTTTTTTTGTTAATAAACCTAACGTTTTCCACATATGAAAAAATAGAAATGAACAGATGATTGATTTACCCAAGTCTGAAAAAGATCTAACTGCTATAAATATGCATTTAAAATAAATATTTAAAAATTTTCACTGGAAATAAGAATCCTTGAGCAGGACAAGTATATCCGAAAACTAAAGAATTGTCAGTCAGCGCTAGAAAAAGCAAACACAACCCCTCCTCTCAAGTGTCTTCAGAAGGTACACTCAAAGACTTTTGCTCGAGCACGTGCAATACTTAACCTAAGCCTTAACTACCGTGATTTTATTTGCTGAAGTTTTCAACTTGCAAGTGTACGAAAGACTATTTCAATTCAAAAATGAACAGGGTACAGGTAAGCCATAGGCACCCTTTGCTGCCCAGCACACTCTTTCATATCCGTAGCTTACAGTCTTTTCAATGGATGTCGGAGGGGCTGATGATGATGTGGCAATAGCGGGAAAGGAGAGCTGCCGGCTGTGGGAAGGGACTATCACACGGCATGTGCTGCAGCCCACTGCAAGAGCTGGATGAGAAGCCTCCCTTCCCTCTCCTGCCTTCCCAAACTTAGTAGTAGGGAGGCAATTTCCAGACCGTGAATCAGATAACGCTGCAGCGTAAACAGAGATTAGCGCTCCTCGGTGTCGCCAAGGACACTCGGGGGGTGGCGGCAGAAGAGGTGGGAAGGCAGGGTGGCAGCCAGCGCATCTGCTGGGGAATGTGGGAACCAGCACCGCCGAGGAGCGGCGAAAAGAACAAGCCCGCTGCCCCGTCCCCATGCGGGGTCTGGGCGGGCCGGTGTCACGGCCGGGACCGGGACCGGTGACCTGGCGGCAGCCGCAGGGCCCTGCCCGACACCGCGGACCGCTCTACTGGGAGAGACGGGGGCCCGGCCCCGCACCCCGCCGGGGCGCCCTCGGACGGGGACGGGGCCGGGGCCCCGCAGGCACCGGGCCGGGCCCCGAATCCCCGGCGGCCACGTGCGCGGTGCGCCCGGGGCGATGAATGAGCAGCGCCCGCCGGCTCCCGGCGGGAGAGTGGCGGAGGCGGCGCTGGGCTCCGCAGGCCCCGCGGGAGCCGCTCCCCCTCCCCGGACCGCCAAAGGGATCCCTCCCGCCCCACCACCGCTCTCCCGTGCCCGGGCAGCGCCGGCCGCTCACCCGCCCGCCCTCACCTGGGCCGCCGCGGGCGCCGCCGAGCAGCAGCGCGGCAGGGAAGACGAGCAGGACGAGCAGGAGCAGCTGCGACAGGCGCCTCATGATGGCGGCGGCAACGGCCCGGCACCCAACGCAGCCAGCCCCGGCGGCAGCGGGTGGCGGCCGCTGCGGGATTGTCTAAATGGCGGCGAGTGCGGGAGCGGGCGCTGGGACCTCCTCCCGCTCCTCCATCCGGGGCCGCGCCCGCCCCGCTCCGCCCCCGCGGACGTGGCTCCGCCGGGCAGGAGGCGCGGCGGTCACGTGGGCGCTTAGCACACGTCTGCCCTCAGCCGCCGCGCCTCCCGATCCACCCGCGCAGCCCCTCCCACAGGGAAGTGGGCACGGCACCGAGCCTGTAGCAGTTCGGGGAGCCTTTGGACAACGCTCTCATCCACCTGGTGTAGCTCTTGGGCGGGGGGGGGAGGGTGGTTCTTGGGGCTGTCCTGTGCAGGGCCAGGAATCTGGCTTGGATTGATCAGCGCGGCGCTGCAAAATGTGGAAGATGTAAAAATTTTCTTAAGAGAGGATGTTCTTTGATGTTTGCTCTTTGTTTTCTTTTCAAGCCTGATAACAAGAAAGGAAATTTAACCCGTGAATCACATAGCAGCTAACAATCAAGCTCTGAGTGATTTCCATTTGTTAGGAAGATTTACCTGTAGAATTGCCTTGTTAAGGTGTAAGGCTTGACATGCTTCGATGATCTCAGACCTAGGGGGAGGTTAACAAAGCTTGGGAAGAAGGATGCACCACTGATAGTGGATACAAAGAATGCAAAATTTACGGGGCACAGGAACGTTTGGCAAAACTCCCAAGATAAGGAAGAAACTAATGAAGACAACTCAGCAGCTGTGCTGAAATCAGCTCCAACTGGGTAAAAGGTAATTCCAGCATGGGGGAGATCATGATGACTGGCTCACGGACCACCGACCCAAGAAACTCACTGACTCAAAAGTAGAGAAAGACCGAGCATGCGGATTGATTAGCATGAGAAGCGAGGGAGTCATTAACCAACAGAAGATAGAATGCTAATAAATAAAGAAACTATGTAACTTGTAGCCAATGAACATTAATGCCTGTTTGCTAAAATGTATAAATAGTGGAAAGTTTTGATTGTTGGTGTGCTTGATTTGCGGAATACCACCAAGCACCCAGGCTCGCACAACTCTGAAATAAATAATAAATGTTTCTCTCAAGTGTGTAGTTAATGGTTTGTTGCACGCTGAGTAAAGAATCCACTTTTTCTGCGCAAGAGTGGGTCTCTTCCAACTTGGAATATTCTGTGATTCTGTGGGAAGTGCTGCCTATGGCTGTCGGGGTGCTCATGACCACAACAGGTGGATGGGGTGGCTGTGGGAGGCCGGGGCCGCTTCTCTGCCAGCATGCCTTTGGCACTTGGCAGTGTGGGAGCCTGCACTTTGAGCTTGGGATGCTTTTAGTGCAGGGAATGCCAGCTGTGTTCAACTTTGTTAATGTGCTATAACACAGTAAACTCCAAAGGATAGGATTTTTTTTTTTTTTTAGTAGATTAACATACCTCTGGAAAGAGCAAAGATAAAGCATATTACTGAAACAAAGGTGCTGTTTAAATCTTGTAATTCCATGTTGCTTTGGAATAACTGGGTTTAAATCATGTATTTGACAGTTTAATTGAAAGTTTCCCAAAGTGTGATAGGCAATGAATATGATACTGAAACGTTGCCTTTATCTCAGGGGACCTTTTCTTAAATGTTAGAAGGGTTATTAAGATGGAAAGCTTTCCTAGGCCCTGCAATCAAAACATTCAGCAAAAACAAAAATACCAGGGCCAAAAACAGCCTACAAGCCTTATCCTTCCTCTGACAGTTAATTCAGCAATTTGTGTACAGGATACAATGAAGCAAGAGTAGTTTTGATACATTCTATATTTTGCGGTAGCTTTAATTTGTCATTTGAGCATCTGCAGCTTGCTGTGATGGCAATGGTAAATGTAGTCTTGAGGCTTTCATTTTTTATTTTCACTCATTTGATTTTCAACCTGCAAATGGCTCTAAAAAAATTATCATAAGTAACCATTCTAACTTTTAATCTTATTTTAACGTGCCAAAAAACTTACTGAAATGCTGTTAAGTATTAACTGAAAGTGGTGCATGATTCTGAAAACTGGAAAACATTCACTGCTACTGATAAAAGTATTTCTAGTCTATCCACACAGTGGTATAATATTACTTTTTCTGCAAAGGTCCCAAAGTTTGTTTAGCGTATAATCTTTGGCCAAACATGTTTGACTTAACCTAGTCATGGTTTGGTTGTTTTGTGGGGGGGTTTTTTGTGGGGGGGAAAGCAGCTAATTACTTTTTCTTCAGGAAAGTAGAATAATACTGGCATGCTGTAGGAGGTTTCCTATATAGCACTGTAGGATCTGAAATATTTTGTGTCATCTATACATTGACTGTGTCCTTAATGTGCTGCTTTTCCATCTGAGTTAACCACTCATGATGTTGCTAATTAATTAACCTGTATGGCGCCCTTACTGAATTTGCACGTGGTGGGCGGCACAGAAATGTGTTAATTAAAAGTGTGTGGAAATAATTGAGGTACCCTGACTACCTGCAGCAAAACGCTAAGCCAAGACTGACTGCAATACTACAACTGTGCCTAAAAGCATATTAGGCTGCAGTTCTTTTGTGCTAAGTACTGTACCCATATTAAACAAGTTATAATTTGAAAGAAAAGCCCGTATGAAAAACTGGAGCAAGATTCCGAGGTTTTTTTTTTTCATGGACTGCTCCACATATGCATTCACAGTCGTAATAAAATAAGTGTTGACAGTATTTGCCACTATTGTGACTTTTAGATTTGACATCCCTTCTGCTGGATACTAATTCTGAGAAGGCTACTATTCACTGGGAGTTCATGTTGCCAATGGAATGTGATTGCAGTCATGTACAAGCATTGTATCCTCGCATTTTAAAAAAGGGTTTCAGTAAGAAATTACATGTAAAACTGTAACTAGAAAATATGCCTTCAGTTTCATAAAGCGTATTACAAAAAGAGCGAGCATTCCTAGTCTGTGGATTATAAATAAAGTTTACTTTTTATTTCCATTTTGAACTTCTTAACTGAATCTCCCAGATGTGTGTTTCCTCTTTGAAGATACCAGGAAAAGGCAAATAACTGTTTATGTACATATAGACAGACTTATTTTTGCATTAATACTTGTTTTTGGTGAAGTGTTTAAGAACCAGCTGGACTGCCTCTTCAGCATTTACTCAGTAGCTTCAATGAGAGATGAATTCAACAAAGCACTTTTAGGAGCAGTGTCATACATAAAGTCCTAACCTGTTGTCTGCTTCCTTTATCTCTTCTTTACCTTTTTTTATTTAGAGAAGTAATTCTGTGGATATGGAATTCTGAGATTTGTTTTTCTTTTTATTTCTATGGTTCTTTTCAAAATCACAAAGTTACTATATGTGGCAGTTAATAATTCCAATGAGAATCTTCCACTTAGACCTATCAAGCTGACATTATTTTTCTCACCACTGATTATAAGTCTGGGGAATCAACTTATTTGAAATTGATGCAGGCAGAAAGGGGTCATATTGCAACCCTCATCCCTGGAAGTCTGTTGGTTGCTTCTGACTACGAGACAAAACCGTTCACAGGAGCTCTTAATGAGACTTGCTAGGTTTTTGCCTGAATTATGGGGGTTCTTTGAAGTTTCTTCAGGAAGAAATTTTATTTACCCTATTACAGAAAAATTGACTAAAACACACACAGATTCCTTATTTTATCCAAAAAAAAAAAAAAAGGAGAGGTACCTCTCTGAAGATGTACCTCATAGAAATATATGGATAAACTGATAGTGTTCCACAAACTTGACTAAATAATGACTAAATAGATCATTTTTTGAGAAATGGAAAAATTCAAATGAAAAATCTAATAATCTAGATAAATTTGTCATTGCTAAACATGATTGCTTAACCAGATTTATGGATTCCATATGCTCCATATGATGGCAACAGGAAAGGAACTTCAGAGCTCACTTTGGCCGTGTTCAAGGTTGCCCAGTTTAAGACTCTTTGTAACACTTCAGTTGAAGGTTGAGGTGATGATTTTGTAACACATACAGCTTAAAGCACAGAGTATTTTTAGCTACCAGATTTTTTTATCTTCCCTCTGCATGAAGAGCAGAAATGAAGTTGTTGACTTGGAAAGATAAAAACCTATTTTTACTCTACACTGTAAGTTAATTTTTGCTACTAATTCAGTGACAGGCTGGCTGTTTGGTAGATTCATGTCATTGTGGACGTGAATTTCGTAAGTCCAGTCTTTCTCAACCAAGAAAGGATGCTACACTGTGAAATTAGAAAAGTACAAAGCTGCAGAGAGTCCTGACTTCTGAAGAGTTCCCCAGGTGCTTCTAAGTGTGTCAGTTGTGAGATGTTAGTAACAAGAAAACCTAATAGACTATCCTCTTCAAGGAAAAAAACCCTAATAGACTGTCTTCTTTACGTAAAAGATAGAATATTTTTGGTTAGTTAAACAGTTTAGTTAACTGTTAAATTACTGTATATAAAGAATAAATAGTATGGGCAATATTTTAAAATCTGAAGAAAACTTACCCTTTGAAAAGAGCCAAAGTAATTCAGTGGTTTTAGTGGTACCAAACTAAAGATTTGACATGTCCATTTAATTATGTTTATCTACTAATCCTTGTATGTTGTTTGAAACCTCACTTGAAATGCCAGAGATGTCTCAACTTCAAGACTACACCTTAAATTCACATTTCTGTGAATGCAAATCACATTGGTAGGTGTGAGAGTTTGCTTTTCGGAGCCTGTGTGGCGTAGTGGCTTAGGGTACCAGCATTCCCTTTTACGTAATTCGGACTCAGCATGGAATAGTTCAGGAGTGGCAACGAATCTGGTGGTGCAGTTCTGCAAAGCTAACTGGCACACTTCAGAACTGCTTGTTCTGGAGAAGCTTGGGGCTTTCACAGACATGGATGTTGTTCACTAGTGGCAAGCTCTGAAGTGAAATGCTATGGTAGATTGTCAGCGCTAAAGAAAAAAAAAGGAAAGATGAAGACTTGATTAATTCCTAGATATTACACTTTATGATAATGGAAATTAACAAAGCAGGTATTTTATCTTTGTTGAATGACTTTTTGTACTCTTATTGGTGCATTCAAATTG